AAAAAAAGAAAAAAGGGACAGAGAGACCAAAGGAAAGAGAGGGAGAGAGAGAGAGAGAGAGAGAGAGAGAAAACACATGGCCAGCAAGCCACTCCCACCAGGTCACATGGCCGGCAAGCCATTCCCACAAAGGAGGCCACACCCACAGAGTAGGTTCCAAAAATATTTGAAACCCACCAGTGGGCTGGAGGCAGAGTTTGGGTACAAGGCTTCTCTCCCCCACCAGTCCAGTCAATTCTTGGAAGTTGCCGAGGTGTTGCTTAGCATTCCAATTGCCGTGATATATCAGGAAACAACCGAAGTACAAAATCATAGCAAGAGACAAAAAAGGAAATTTATGGGAAAGAAACGGCCCAACAAATAAACCAATTAAACCAATTTTAGCCACACTAAACCGCACCACTGGATCAATAGGTAAAAGCCGTTCGTTGTTTTGAAGAACAAATGAGACCAGGGGTCAGCAATTTCTCCCGTGAGAAAATTTTGGTGGTCTGCAGAAAAATTGTTTGCAATTTTTATTTTGCACTAAATACTATTAATCGTTTTTAAACAACCATATTAGCGCCCTGTGGGATTTAAAATTATGAATGTAGTGGTCCCTGAGGACTGGAAAGTTGGTGACCCCTGAATTAGACCACAATCGGTCGTCCCATCTTATCAACAAAGGACGAAGAAGTTGAGATTGGACCGTTTTCTTCAGCCTGAGGCCAATAGAAAAACATGTACACAAATTACAACACATAAACAGAACCTCATTTTTCTCAGATTTCCTCATATGTAACTAGAGGCGCACCAGGCCAAAAGATGCCGCTATTTTTATTTAAATTTTGGAGGGAAGAGCCCGGCGAAGCCATTCAGGCGGCATCTTTGGGGCGCTGGGGGGAGAGGTTCCCATTTCAGATGGGAGGGAAGCCCTGAGCACTCTCTCCCTCTTCTCCAACCTCGCAGTCCCTGTCTCTGATGAGGATTCGGACGCCATGGTGGATGACCCCAACGACGAGGACTTTGTCCCCTTCCGCACCCGCCGGCCCACCCGCCTGTCTCTGCGCAACCAGATGGCCCAGCGGGCGGCCCGCTCGACCGTCACCAAGATGAACTGCGCCAACTGCCGCACGCCGCTACAGAAGGGCCAGACGGCTTACCAGCGCAAGGGGCTCCCCCAGCTCTTCTGCTCCAGCACCTGTCTCACCACCTTCTCCAAGCGGCCCCTCAGCAGGAAGAGCTGCACCTTCTGCAAAAAGTAGGCACTCCCCCCACTTTCGCCCTTCGCTGGGGCGCATCCTTGGTCTCCCTGCTCCCCTTCTACCTGCCCCCTCCCCGGATTGCGGGAGAGCTTCCTGGTCCTGGCCTGCTGTGTCCCATGGGGAAGGGGAGGAGGTAGCCTTTCTGTCCCCGGCCCAACAATGCTTTTCCTCCCTTCAGGGACATCTGGAACACCAAGGAGTCGGTGGTGGCCCAGATCGACAACTCTTTCCACGAGTTCTGCACCTCGGTTTGCCTCTCGCTCTACGAAGCGCAGCAGCAGCAGCGTCCGGCCCCACAGGCAGCTGAAACCTCGGACACCATCCGGTGCAGCGTCTGCTACAAGACTGGAGAAGTGAGCAAAGGTGTCCCCCTGTGGCCCCCTTGACCCCGGGAAGGCTTGCTGTGGAAGGTTTCCCCTCTCCCTACCTCCCGTACTCCCCTACCTAGCACCGGGCGGGGGGGTGGGGGGGCTGGGGGTCTGTGGCCAGCCTGCGACCGCTCCGCTTCCCCTTCAGATCCAGCACGAAGTGAGCAACGGCAGTGTCGTGCACCGGATCTGCAGCGATGCCTGCTTCACGAAATTCCGGGCCACCAAAGGGCTGAAAACCAACTGCTGCGACAGCTGTGGCCTTTACCTGTACAACAAGGGGGCCCCCTTGGAATACCTCTTCCACGAGGGGCAGCAGAAGCGCTTCTGCAACCCCGCCTGCCTCAACAGCTACAAGAAGGTATGGGGGGCTGAAAGTGGGGGGCCCCACACTCTGGGGGAGGGGGCCCCAGGGGTTGACTGCCTCCCCCAGAGCTTGGGAGGTGGTGGCCTTACAAGGAAGCCCCTCGGGATTGGCGCTGATGAAAGGGCAGGGGGAAGGGAAGACGCAGGGGGCTGTCGGCCAGCCTGCCCAGCAGCCCTTCCCCCCCATGCCCTGGGTCTCTGCAGAAACACACCCGGGTCTACCCATGCATGTGGTGCAAGACGCTGTGCAAGAACTTCGACATGCTCTCCCACAAAGACCGCAACGGCAAGCTGGGCCTCTTCTGCTCCGTCTGCTGCACCACCTCGTACAAGGTCAAGCAGGCCGGACTGACAGGTACTGGGGTGGAAATGGGGATGCCCAGGGCGGGGAGGCGGGCACTGGGCCTCTGGGGGAAGAGAGGACCAGTCCTGCGGCGCAGACTCCTCCTGCCCGCTCTCTCTGTCTCTCCTGGGGCCCACCCTGATCCTGCCATGTACCCTTCCCCCCCATCCCCAGGACCCGTCCGGCCTTGCAGCTTCTGCCGAAAGAGCCTGTCTGAGCCCTGCTATTACAACAAGAACAAGCAGGTGGTGTACCAGTTCTGCAGCCCCAGCTGCTGGACCAAATTCCAGGTACATACGGAGGCTCTTCCGCCGTCACAGTGACGGGACCAGACCCAGGAGCCCCCCCCGGCTTGCTCTGCACGGCTGCTGCAGTCGGGGGCCTCCCGTCAGGCTTCTGACGTCTCTCTGCTCTCGCATTTCTTTAGAAAGAAAACAAAAAAGGCTTCTAGCTCTCACTGTTTGCCGAGGACAGCTTTTGAGTTAGGGAAAGCGGTGTCTGCTAACGGCCGTTGGGCTCCGAAGGTGTAGGGACCCCCAGAGGCCACCTCCCCCCCTTGCTCTTGGCGCTCCCCTCTTTCTTACGTCCCCTGCCTCTTCCCGTCTGAGTCCCCAGAGTGGATAGTCTGTGAATACACTGTCTGTGTGTTGATTTGCCTTCTCAAATTCTGGTGCTGCTTGGTGAAGAGCCTCCTCCTCCTCCTTCTGGGCCTCTGGGCCCAGCTTCCCCTCCCAGGCTGTGTGTGTGTGAGGTTCCCCCCCACCCCTCTTGCTTTTTGGGTTCTTGGCGCGCTCCCCTATCACGCTCTGCCATCGCCTGCGCCCGTCTCCTTCCTCCCTTCTTTCTTTCCCTCGTTCCCTTCTGCTGAGTTCATCTCTCCCCTCGTCGTCCCAGCCGCTGTTCTCCGTTGCAGCATTGCGTGGCTGAATCTTCTTCTCACAGTGGAGCATTCAGGATCCCGCTGACATCACAGAAGCTTATAGCCAATGACCGGGAGTGGGGATAGTGGGGTGGGGTGGGGGGGCGAGGCTGCACATCTCATTCGTAGCTTACGGATCTTTCTATATCTATGATGTTGAATCTCTCGTGGTGGTGGTGGTGGGGTGTCATTGTCTCAAATAAAACTGTTTTTGCTTCTGCCGATGACGAAGAGACTTTGTGTCTGCTATCCAATAAATCAGTGAAATTAACCTCCTGTGTGATTTGCATAATTTATTTCACTCGCAGAAAGTTGGTCTTGGGCTGCCGTTCCCTCTGGCCAAAGCCTGTCCCCTCCCAGGAACAGCAGCAGCACAGGGGGGGCCGGATGGAGGGGCCCCCTTCTTGGTGCCACAGGATTGGGAGGGGAAAGGGAGTGCTGGGAATGGGCAGGAGGTGGGGATTCGGTGGGGAGGGGGTGGCAGGGACAAATGGAGCAATGAGGTGGGCAGGGTGCAGGCGAGGGGCTGGGAGGCCCGGGGGGGAGGGCAGTCCTGGGGCACAGCAAGGCGGGCAGGGTCGTGGTGCCCCTTCTGAATCTGTCCCCTTCCCTCAAAATGCAGCGCTCCAGCCCGGAAGGTGGGATCCACTTGACCTGTCATTCCTGCCACAACCTCTTCACTGGGAAGCCCGAGATCCTGGATTGGCAGGTGAGGGGGGCCGCCGGAGGGAGGAGAAGAGAGGAGGCGAGGAGCCTTGCCCCAGGGAGGCTCCGGGAGGGGAGCTCTCCGCTCACACCCCATGGGGGCCTCCTGGGCAAACTCAGCTGACGCTCGCCCGCCTGGTGCCCACTCTCTGCCAGGACAAGGTCTACCAGTTCTGCTGCCGGGACTGCTGCGAGGACTTCAAGCGGCTGCAAGGGGTGGTCTCCCAGTGCGAGCACTGCAAGCAGGAGAAGCTGCTGCACGAGAAGATCCGCTTCTCGGGAGTGGAGAAGAACTTTTGCAGCGAAGGTACCCGGGCGGGGAGCTCGATCGTTGCCGAGGGCAGAAGTCCCCCCGGCCGCCGTCTCCTCAGGGCAGGTCGTTGCATGCGGTGGGCAGGGGCCAGAGGCCGCGTCGGCCTTAGGATCGGAGAGGTGAGCGACGGGGACCCCCCCTAGGCCGCCCGGGGCTAGTGCAGGAAGGGCTTGTGTCAGGTGTGTGTGTGTGCTTGCGTGCGTGTCCGTCTCGTGCTTGGTCTCTCTGTGGTTGCCTGCTGTGGGCTCCTGTTGCCGCCCCCCCGCCCCCGGGAGGTTTTCATCCGTGTTGTTTCTCCGCAGGGTGTGTGCTTCTTTACAAACAGGATTTCACCAAGAACCTCGGCCTCTGCTGCGTGACCTGCACCTATTGCTCCCAGACCTGCCAGCGAGCCGTCACCGAGCAGCTGGAGGGCAGCACCTGGGACTTCTGTAGCGACGACTGCAAAAGCAAATACCTACTCTGGTACTACAAGGTCAGTGCGCTCCTGCACCCCCCTTTTCTTTGGGGAGGGGGCCTGCCAGTCCCCGGTTCAGGGGAAAGGAGTTGCCTCTTCTTTGCGCTAAAGGCCAAAACGTTTCCCGCGAGCACCGAGCGGGTACATCCGCAAAGCCGCCTTAGAATCAAAAGGGGCAGTAAGAACCGTGGCTACCAAGAGGTTGAGCTCTCTGTCTGGAAAGTGGTTTAAGGAGCGCCCTCCCCGGAGGTGGGTGGGGAGAGGAACCCAGCCTTGGGCTTTCCAGAGCGAGGGGAGGCTGCCGAATGCCGTTCTCCAGGTCGCAGACCTCCCCCCACCACCACTCCCTTCTGAGGTGGGCCAGAGCCATCTTCAAAGCATCAGGTCCCCCCCCACATACTCTCCGACCTTTGGGAGATGACCATCAGCAGCTGCTCCCTGGTTCCCGTTTAGAACGCAAAAGCCACATCCCAGGAGCCGCATGTGCTCTTCCGTGGCCCTCAGAATTGCCCCGGGCGGATATGGAGACAGAGATTTAGGCCGCCTTCTCTCATGGGGGCAAGTGGGGGGGGGTTGTTCCTTCCCAGCTGCTTAAGGCATCGTTCGGCCCTTTCAGTCTCCCCCTTCTGTGGGCCTTCTGTGCCCACTAAGCCAGAGCTGATAGATGTGACCACCGTGGCACGACAAAACCATGCTCGACTAAAGCGCGTCCGATTAAACCGCATCGCTGACGTCATCAACAGGGCGACGTTAGGGGTTAGGTTTAGGGTTAGGTTAAGGGTTAGGATTAGGTTTAGCGTTAGGTTAAGAGTTAGGTTTAGGGTTAGGTTAAGGGTTAGGATTAGGTTTAGCGTTAGGTTA